TCTCTCTCTCTCTCTCTCTCTCTCTCTCTCTCTCTCTCTCTCTCTCTCTCTCTCTCTCTCTCTCTCTCTGTCTGTCTGTCTCTCTCTCTCTCTCTTTCTCTCACTCATGTGACCCGATGTGATAATACCGCAGAGAGGTTTGCGAAAAAGCAAACTAACCTCATAAACATCTCTCTTTTTCTGCTGACAACTATAAACTCTCTATTTTATGCATATTATACTCACACAAATTTCGGATATTTGCGACTTTTCAAAAGATTCAAAAAACTTCATATCGAGCACTTTAATAACCAGCGATACTCGCAATAAATAAGTGAACCTATTATTTCTTGTATATTGACCGAAGACCGTTCCGATTGACGATTGACTTCAACGCATTCTATAAAGTACCGTTCAACTAACAATTAATATGAGCAAAGAGAACTAAAGATCGTTCAAAGAATGTTCAATTATTAATTGTAATATTATTCCGATTTTAATGAAACTCAGGTTTACAAAAGTATTTATATTTTAAAAGGATTTTGGCATAATTGGCACAAAATAGCAGACTGGATTGAATTTTCTGGAAGCCGGAGGACCGACAGTCCGTTAAAACGGATGTTACTTTCTATGCTGTCGATAGAACGACGACTAGTATTGAATAAACTCCGTAAATATATTACAAGTTGGAAAACAGATTGTTGCGGGCGCAAATTCAATTATAAACTTCATACATATCCGAAGGCTGACGTTTCGCGGATTACATTGCACGTCGTGAAATTGACATGTATACATTTGAAGTGCAACTGAAACATGCCGAAAGCGATTGCGTTGTGTGTCGCCTTCAATTACTCCACTATGTAAAAGAATAATCCTAAGGGAGCGAATCTAATTGCGAGTTGTTGTTATCACGATAGCCTGCGCAATATTTCTGCGCAAAATTACACATTAATCATCGTCGTCTTTAAGGCATTGAGCAAAGAACCTGAGGTAACTTTACTCACGTCGATGATTCCGTAGCGGTCTTGAATTAATCGGAAGAACCCGATTGAAATTGTAAAATTGCACAGCCGCGAGTGGTCGCTTCTCGGTAGACGAGATTGGAAACGTTAGAAAATCGAAACACGTCGTAAAGACGTGAGCGAGAATGAAATGTGTTTTAATGAAGTCATTTTGCCCGCTGGTGTCTTACCCTGCTCCCTCATTTGCATCACCGCGAATTGAATCGCAGACGCGGCCCCGCAATCAGTAACTTTTCCTCAGGGGGAAAATGACGCGCTTGACAAAAGCTTCAGAATACATAAAATCGTGAACAGCTAATCTCAAAGTGAACAGGTGAAAGGAAAGAAAGGCGAATAGGAGAGAGAAAGGGAGAGAAAAGAACATGTTAACGAGCGGAGCTTTTTGTTTTCTGATGATGTAACGAGACATGAGTCAATGCGAAGACAATCGTCTGAGAGAACTCGGTGATCAAAATCAAGCTCTTGCGAATCGCGGAGAAAATTCAATGATAAAGACATAAGATCATATTACGAGCAACGAAGTAATTAAAAGAGGGGACGAAGGGTGAATTACTTTGATCCTGGTGAGACGGTAACACCTTTCTAAGCCGAATTAGATCGGATTAGAGAAAAAGTAGAGTTGCGTCTGGCTTAAGCGCCTACGTGGCTCGAAACACGCGAAGCGACTCTACATCGATATAACTTTTATCCGAAGGGTGGTTAAAGTGTAAACCTCATCCCTTCTTCATCTCGATAGCAATTTACTCTAGCAGTTGAGTAACTGTTTGAAACGATAAGCATGCTTATAGATGTCGTGATCTTTATATTGTATAGGAATGTCATTTTTGTTGCCATATCATTTTTGTTGCCACTTTGAAGGCACAAATGCACGTTTTATACACGGTGAGGCAAGAACTCTGAGCACCTCAAATATCTCCGCTATTCCAACAATATAGAAAAATGGTGCTTTTAAAATTAACAAGAGTTTTATAAAAAAAAAAAAAAAAAAAAA